TGTCAGCTGGTGTTCCACGGCGCAGAACTCTCCTAGGGCTCCTTGCGGTCATGCACTCTCGGACCGTCCCTCAGGAAGTCTAACTTGATGACACTGATACTTGCTGATGATGAAAGCCTTGGAAAGCTGGAGCCATCAAAGCTTGTTTGTTCGGAGCTGTTTCTTTTGTGTGTCCATCACATTCTGGGTGGAACAGCCGAGGCGAGCTTCTGAGTAACTGTTTCTGGTTGAGCAGGCCAAGGTTGGTGGATGGCAAGACTGGCCTGGTGTCAGCTGGCTGCTTGACTTTATTCTTCAAACCAGCCTGAAAGCTGTTTCCACCAGAGACAAATAGAATTCTGTTTTTCTTAGAGTTGAGGGAAGAGACTTGGGAATAGAAATGAATGATGAGAAATTCTTACATTAGGGGAGGTTGGTGTCTTAGTGTTCTATTGCTGTGAAGAGACACCATGACCACAGCTACTCTTATGAAATGAAACATTTAATTGGAGTTGGCTTACAGTTCAGAGGTTTAGTCCACTATCGACATGGCAGCGTGCTGGCAGACATGGCGCTTATAAGCTCTGTGTACAAACTGGAAAGCAGTAGGAAGAGAGAGTGACATTAGGCCTGTCTTGAGCATCTGAGACTTCAAAGCCCATCTCCAGTGACACACTTCCTCCAACAAGGTCATACCTTCTAATAGTGCCACTCCCTGGTGACCAAGAATTCAAATCTATAAGTCTATGGGGATCATTCTTATTCAAACTACCACATTCCATTCCCTGGTCCTCATAGGCTTGTAGTCATATCATAGAGTAAAAATGCATTCAATCCAACTTCAAAAGTCCCCATAGTCTATAACAGTCTCAACACTGTTTAAAAGTCCAAAGTGCAAAGCCTCTTCTGAGACTCATGGCAATCTCTGAAATATAACCCCCTGTAAAATCAAAATCAAAAAGCAGATCACATATTTCCAACTTACAGAGACCAGGATAGACGTAACAATTCCAGAAGGGATGAAGGGAGCACAGTGAGGAAACACTGGACCAAAGCAAGACTTAAACCAGCTGGGCAAAAACCAAACTCTGCATCTCCTGGTCTGATGTCAAATGCTCTTCAGATCTCCAGCTCCTTTCAGCTTCGTTGACCACAACACACGTCTCCCTCGGGCTGGCTCCTCTCCCTGTCAGCAGCTCTCCTTGGCAGGTATCCCATGGCTCTGGTATCTCCAACGCTTTGGGATCTCCAAGATAATCCAGGTTTCACCCTCATATTTTCATGCAAAGGCCTCTCTGGGCCTCCATGCAAGGATACCTTTGACACAAGCCTGGTCTCAGCAGCTGTCAGGTCCCAAAGAAACATTTATTGGGCAATGATGGGGAGTCTCCTTCAGCTAATGGCCTTTGAGAGGCTGGACCAGGTTGGGCGTGGCCTTGGGTACCAAAAAGATACATGCCCGCCTGCTCTCTCCTCTCTCACACGTGGATGCTGGATTCTGTTCCTGTTCCCCATTTGTGCAGAGGACTGTGATCTGTGAGTTCCCCCTAAATGAAAACCCTCTTTATTATACTCAATTCTGAGCTAATGTAGGATTACTTTATTTGCATTCACCTTCAGAGCAACACACACCAAATAGTATCTGTACCATAGGTGCTCATGGTTGTACCACACTCTTGTGCTGGATAGAGTCATCTGAGAGGAGGAAACCTCAATCAAGAAAATATCTCTATAAGATCAGGCTGTAGGCAAGTCTGTAGGGCATTTTCTTAATTAATGATTGATGGGGGAGGACCTGGCCCATTGTGGGTGGCGCCATCCCTGAGCCTTGGGTTCTATAGGAAAGCAGGCTGAGCAAGCCAGTAAGCAGCTTTCCTCCATGGCCTCTGCATAAGCTTCTGCCTCCAGGTTCCTGGCCTGTTTGAGTTCCTATCCTGAATTCCTTTGATGATGAGCTGGGATATGAAAGTGTTAGCTGAATCAACCCTTTTCTCCCCAAGTTTCTTTGGTCATGGTGTTTCATCACAGCAATAGTAACCCTAAGACAAGGCCATACCAATGTACTAAATTATTACCCTGTTATTGGGCTCTGGTTATTCATGAGTGTTTTGTATTCAATATCCACATGGAAACTAAGCTATGTGAGAACTATATACGTATATATTCACTGCACTTATTGTTATTTGATTTGGAAAAGCCCAAAGGGTAGAACCACTAGACTAAAGGTTTTGAAAACTTTCCGGAGAGGATTTGCCAACAGGCGAGTGGCATGTGGGACTCCCCAGGGACAGCAGCAGCATCTCTGGTTATAGATCGGGAACCAGAGTGTGATCCAGGACAAATGTTTAATCATCTGAACCCATTGCAGTATTGTCTCCTACACCATGGAGTTGTTTTCAGGACAGAATACATTGGAAACTTCACACAGTCAACAGTTTATAAACATTATGATCATTTTTATTATTGTTCTCATATATGCTCAACAATAAACCCAGAATCCTTAAATACCCATGACCTACAGCCCTGACATCTGTGTTTTTCCCAGGGTCTCTGGTAGAGTTAGTATCACATGGCTCGGCAGCTGCTGGGAAGGGAACTTCAGGGAGGAATAGAGGGGCTTTGCTCTGGGTGCTGAGGCAGGAACCTTGTTAACAAAGGGAGTCTGTGTTCTTTGCTTGTTCGATCTTGCCCTTGCTAGCACAAACTTCCTTCTTCCATGTCCTGATATAGGCTTCCAGCAGAAGGCATAGCCCAGATTAGAGGCAGGTCCCCCCACCTTGAAAGATCTGGACTAAGCTAGGTAGAGGTGGTGCACACCTTTAATCCCAGCACTTGGGAGGCAAAGTCTCTGTGAGTTCAAGGCCAGCCTGGTCTACAGAGCTAGTTCCGGGATAACCAGGGATACACAGAGAAACCCCTTCTCAAAAAACAAATAATGAAAAAAAAGGGTTCTGGATTAAAATCTCTTTCTTCCTCAAAGGTCCAGATTAGAAGAGGTTCTAATTGTTCCCACTTCAAATTAAGCAGAAATCCCTCGCTGGTATGCCCCATTATTTGGGTTTTAGTTGATTCCAGATGTAGTTAAGTGGACAACCAAGAATAGCCATCACAGAGCGCTTTGAGGAAATGGGTCTAATGGTGCTGAGGCCTGAGGAGAGCAGTTAGGAGAGGCAGGCTGCACGAGAACTCTTTCTGCCTGTATCCAACCACAGGCACGGCTTAAGTGCCCTTCTCCCAGCAGCAGCAACTCCTCAGAACACAGGGGACAAAGGTCGTTGAGAGCATCAGGTTCCCAAGAATCACATCCCAGCATGGGGAAGAGGGCAGGTCTGGATCTAGAGAAGGGTGAATGGGTCTTGGGATATGAAGGTAGAGAACATTCCTGCCTTCAGGACTGCAGCACCCTCCTTGGAGGCCAGTTGTGGGGTGCCAGGCTGCCCTGGGAAGTTCCTTACTCTGACTTTGCTCTTTCCACAAGCTGGGAGGCCAAGGGCAGCAGAGCCCCTGTGAGTCAGGCTTCAGAGGTGCAGAGCATGAGGAAGGCCACAGCTCAGCTTGGGTCCTTTAAAATTTTAGAAAGAAGTTTAAAATCAGGCTGGAGAGACAGCTCAGACATTAGAGTAAGTCCTGCTTTTCCAGACAGCCAAAGTTCAGTTCCTATCACCAAATTCAGGCGGCTCACAGCCCCCTAAAGTCCAACCCATGAGATCAGACGCCTTCTTCTGGCTTCTGCAGGTACCTGTACACATGTGTATGGGCAGACACACACACACACACACACACACACAAAATGTGAAATATTTTTAGAAAGAAGAAAATTAACTCACAAAAACTTCCCCCATGGACACGAAGCCTGCTTCTCTGACCTGCCCATCCGTCCCTCATCCGTAGACTTTGGCCTGTGCCTTTAAGGTCACTGATGGATCTAGGTGAAAATTACAGGCCTGAAGAAACAAACTGTCACTTCCTTGTAAATCAAACAACACTGATGGGTAAAGTACAAGTTCAAAGGTTGCCACCGACATTACAGAAATTCTCTTGTGTTATGTATTTTAATTATGTAAGTGTAACTGGGGATGAAAAACAAACATGTCAACGTGAAAAGTTGTTTTTAGAATGTTCTAGATGGATGCAGTGAGCAGGGCTTTTGTCTTATTGTAAACCTTGCCAAAATCTGCTGTTAGGGGCATGGAAAGAAGTGACCGTGTAGACGGGACATCTGAAAAACCCCGGGGAAGGCACTCATGTGCATGTCACCGCCAGCTAGCCAGCTAGTAGACAACAGAAGGCTCCGAAGCCCACATTCCTTTGCTGTTGAAATACTACAGCGGCCGTGATGGTGCTCTCTGGGGCCATGGTTGCTGTGGTCAGGAAACCGCTGACACCCAGCGCTGCGCTTAGGGCTCATGGCTGTACTGATGCCGTGTTTTGGGGATGGCTCTCGTCTCACGGAGTTTTCTGGATGCTGTGTTTCTCCGTGAAAGTGTTTACGTCCTGGGGAGTGCTTTAGGACCCGCGTGGGCTCTGCAAATTAAAGGACACTAATTTAAAACCACAGCTATTTACCTACTTCTCCATAATGAAAAATAAGAGTTGACATCTGGTAAGAAATGTCCCCTGCAACCCAAGGAAGTGACTCTTCTTTTTTTTTTCATCATGAAAGGGACGGATCTCCATTGGTGGCCTCTCTTATTTACACCACACACATGGCAATGGCTCCACATCCAGCTCCTTAGTATAAACAGAAAAGATGGTCTTTTTCTGGGGAAGTTAATGAATTGAAAAACAAAGCCGTTCTGTATACCCACTCGTTCCAAACGAATAAAAGGACCACAGTGCTCCAAGTTGCAGGCAAAACAGTTGCATTCAAACTCATTTTGCCCCTTCCACTCTCCCCCCCACTTTTCCCACCCCCACCCCTTTTTAAGGAGAAAAAGAACCATTTAATCACCTTATAAGGGCAGAGAGCATTGAGGCAACGGAGCAAGAGTCTGAGGCCCAGATCTTATTCTTGGCCAGGACAGGGCTCGCTGGGGGATCCAGGGCTGTCCCTCAACTGTGCTTTTCTGTTGATGCAGCTGTGATATGGGGACACAGATGTGTGTGTGGTACCCATGTGCAGCCTCTGGTGAGAGGCACGGAGCTAAATCGGGAGGCCTGTTTTGCTAGACCTAGGCTGTTTCTGTTTGAAATTGCTGTTTGTAGTCGTTTGAGGGCTGACATAGCAGTGGGTCTCGGATCCAAAGCTGGTAAATAGATGTACACACAGACCAGGCCCGAAGGTTCTCTGAGGTTTTGGAGTGAGGTTGCCATGGCAAATGTGGCACCCTGTGTCTGACTTTATACACATACATCACATTGCTGGTCATCTCTTTACAAGTGAATTATGGTGTGGGAGTTCACGTGTTTCCTGCGATATAGTCAAAGAACAAAAGAGGGCTGGGGAAACAGCCTCAGTTGCAAGCAGGGAGACTGGAGTTTGAGCCCTAGGAACCACATGATTGCAATCTCAGCACTAAGAAGGTAGACACAGGAAGATCCCTAGGGTTTTGCCAACCTCACGTATTTGGTCGGTCCCAGGATAGTGAGAGACTTTACTTAAAAATAAGTAGAGTGGGTGGGATGATATTTGAGGTTGTCCTCTGGCCTCCACATACACTGCACACAATAACATGTATACCAATGCATGTGCATGCATACACGTATGCTCACACCACACCCCCAACACACTCACACCAAGAAAAAACTTAGGAAGGAAGGAAAGAAGGAAGGAGGGCGGTCATGTTCCACTGAGCAGCGTCTGGTATAGAGATGCAGCTATACTCTGAACTCAGGCGAGCCTCTGAGACTTTCCCATTCCTTCTGGGTTTTCTGGCAGTCATCCATGGACCTCTCTGGAAGACTGCTGTGGTTTGTCAGGCTGGTTTCTGGTGTGGTGCAAGCCTCCTTCCCTTGCTGCTTCTGCTAGCTCCTGTTGACTTCCTTCCCATGGCTTCCCCACAGTCAAAAGCTTTTCCTCCCTCTTCCCAGAGCCGGCCCAGACACTCTGATGAATCTCTTCAGGGAGCACTGGAGAATATTGGCCTGAGTGGTCCGAGGTTTCGCCTGAGAAAGGGAGCCCAAAGGCTTCTTACTGCTGCTGCTGTGGGTGTCTTTGAACTTTAGCTGAGTTATCACCACCTGGCTACAGGGTGTTAAAAAGAAAGAATAGCGAATCCAAAGCAAGGCCTCTCCTGGTCTCCTCCACAAACACCTGACTTATACCATCTTTCCAGACGACTTTTTACTCAGGTGACTTTGAAAGATGGGCTCTGCTACTTCCATTTTACAGACGGAAAAAAAAAAAAACCTGAAAATGAGGTTGACTCCAAAGTCATGCCCCTGGTGAAAAGCTAATGGTTGATATTGGATGGCCAGACACTGGTGCTAATGTCTCTGTGTTCATCCCCTCCCCCATTGCTTCTGAAAAACCAAGTTATGAACACCGCTTGTATTAATTTTAGGAAGTACAACATGTCGGCTACTGCTGTGTATCAACTCATTTAATTCCCACAGTGAGTCTGTGAGGATGAAGCAATTATCATCCCCATTTTATAGATGAGCAAACAGAGGCTTCAGGGTTAGGAGTTTGCCCAGAGGCCACAGAGCTAAATAGCAGGAAACCCAGGAAGGGAAATCCAGACAGTCTGACTCCTAAGGACCCTGCTTGGCAACTTCCCAGGAATTCAGGAATGGGGCCAGGTTCAGACAGGACTCACGGCTTCGGGAGCAAGAAGAATGTGGGGTTCTCAGGGACCACACCCAGGGCCAACCACCACGTCCATCAGTGTCTTCCTGGATATTCAGGCAGATAAGTAGCCAGAATGGTCGTGGTGTAATCAGTAAAGAGGGTCACCCTACCTGTTCCAAGAACACATTTGGGTGCTCCATTCGCAGGGGTTCTCTATTTTAAGTCACTCCGTGGCTTCCAGTCATCCCAAGCTGTTCTCATCTTCTGCCTCGTAGCTTCTGCCGATCCAGACTCCCATTTTCTAACGCATCGACTCGGTTCCGTCGGACGCGCCTAAGGTTACCATCCACTTCCGTCTCAACTGCTAAAGACTTTATTCTCTTCTCCCTTTCTGAGGTGTGTTCTTGCAGGAAGGTGTTATAGGCCCACTTCGTCTTCAGTGGGGGCCGGTGTGTGTGGTTGTCAGCCTGTCGGCTTCTTATAAGCGGGCCCATGTTGCAGTTTGGGACAGAAGCAGGGTCATAGAGGCACGTGGGAAAAGAAATAGATACCCAGGCCGCTTCTTCATCAGGAGCTGGGGGTGTGGCTATCCCCATTTGAAGGAGCTACAAACACAGCAGAGATTAGGAGCCATGTGATTTAATTCCTCTCACAACCTGACCCCCTCTAGACTCAAGAAGGACAATGGACGATGAGGTGGAAGGACCCTCCCGGCTGCTGATACGATGAGAGTTGATTCTGTCAGGTCCCAGTGGACAGCAGGCAGCTTGCACAAAGCAGGGGACTGGAAAGGATTAAGCAAAGGAGTCATTTTCAGAGCAGAGGCAGAATGAAGGGAAGCCCCCAGTACTGGTAATACTCCTCGGACCAACTGTCTTGGTAAGCCTGATATTCCTGGGCCTAGAGGGAGTAGAGCATGGTCCCTGGAGTTCAGAGACAGTGGTGACCATCACTGAGAGGTCTATGTAGGAGACAGCCCCCCAAGAGCATGTAGCTTCCTATAAAGGATCATAGCCTCTGCCCACCTGTGACTCAGAATGAAGGAGCCAGGAAGACCTGCATCTCCACCCCCTCACCCTGCCCTCTGATCTGCTGCCAACACCCTGCTATCTTTCAGGAACTGGATTCAGAGGCCAGGTACCTGGGGGAACCCTTGAAAAGGCTGGGTGTCTAACTGTGACGAAGATTGAAAAGGACTCAGGAGAGGCAGCTAAGGATGCTTGACCCACAACCTACCTCCTCCGTGAGCCACTTTGAATAACCCAACAACTAAGTTGTTTAGAATTAACTACCTGAAATAACATAGTCATTGGTTCAGCACACTAAAACATTTCAACACATGTATACAGCTCAGTAACTGAACCAGAATACAGAATTTTTTTATTTCTTTTTTTTTGAAGGTTTTATGCATGTGGTAAGGGTCTTTTACTGACCCTTGAGGTAGACTGGTGACTAGGAAACACAGTGATCCTGTTGTCTCTGCCTCCCACAGCCCTGGGGGGTTCAGGCACCTGCAGCCACACATGGCTTTTTACATGAATGCTAGAGATTTGAACATAGGCCCCATGATTGTGCAGCAAGCGCTCGCACCGACTGAGCCGTCTCCCACCCTCTGATCATGTCTTAGACTAGGTGTTTAGACTTCAGCGTTCAGGGGTTCCGATATGTTTCCTTGGAACCTATGAGACCTTCCACTCCCAGGCAGCAGTCTGGGAAGTCCCAGCATTACCAGGACAGAGATGTTGGATGAAGGGATTGCCAAGGACTTGCTGTTCTGAGAGGGGCATCGAGGGGCAGGTAGTGTGGGCCACCCAGCCAGAGTCAGGAGAGTGTCTGCACTGCAGGGGATGGCCGTGGACAGCCCCTGTCTGTCAGCAGGGAGGCAGGAGGCCTCCAGAGTGAAGACACAGTGGGGCACTGACACCAACTTCTCTTTAATTGGTTAAAGTGAAGCTTCTAACATCTGGTGGGAAAGATGCTTCAAACAGAAATTAAGTTTCACATTTAAAAATAAAAGGTTTTGTGTGTGTGTGTGTGTGTGTGTGTGTGTGTGTGTGCATGTGTGTGTGGTTTTGCATACCTCTGGGGCTAACCTCTTCCACAGTCACATCATATATGATTGCTGTTGTTTGGGGTAGGCGATAGCGCTTGAACTCAGGCTGACAGTACAGGTTTGGCCCTTCCCATATCTGTTTCCTCCAGGTAGAAATAGTCCTGAAGAAGGCTTCTGGTCCTGAGCTGAGAGGTGTTAATTGACATAGCACTTGGGGCTATGGAAAGCTGATGATGGAATGAGATTTGGCACTCGGGTATAGCTGCTTCATTATTTCATCTTTGAAGGCCCAAATGAAGGCGTGTTTAGATTAAAAAAAATTACCTCCCAGGGAGTTAAAAATGTACTGGCCTCAAGTATAACTCTTTCCCATCGCTCACGCATGTTCACACAAAGAGGAAACCACTAAGGGACGCTTGTGTTTAGTTGTTCTAGACGTTGGTGGGAGGCAGGAAGGTTGAAGGTCCCGGCTTGCGTCTCTAATTTATTTCCTTCTACTTTCCCAAGAGTGGAAGAAAAAAATGTTTGTGAACTTGCGTTATTAAGACATTTGTGCCGTCTGCTTAGCGCTTACTTATCATCTTCCTAGTTCTCGGGACCAAGAAAGAATCTCTCTAGACTGACTCTCAGGCCAGCAAGTTCTGATTTTGTGTGGTTTCCTGAAAGTTTCTCTTTCAAGAGGGGTCCTGGTATTCACTGCATCTTATGTTTCCCTTCTCATCCCTTGGAGGCTTCACTCAGGAAAGCCCTAGGGCAAAGGCTTGGGTGTTTTTTTTTTTTTAAAGGCCCTTTCCTCTTCCTGAGCTCATAAGCATCCCTTCCCCCTCCCCATACACACGCCTCACCTGTTGCCTCTCTTTCGTGTCTGTCTGTGGCGCACGTGTGCACATGTGTGGGTACATGGGCCCTGTGTATGTAAGGAGGCCAGAGGAGGTCACAGAGGAGGGCACTGGGCATCTGTTCTGTCACTCTGCCTTATTCTGAAAGACAGTGTTTCTCACTGAGTCTGGAGCTATGCTGGAAGCCAGCAGTACCTTGCCCCCAACTCTAGAGTGAGAGCTGGGGATTTGAACCCAGGTCCTCACACTTGTACAACCATCATTCTTACTCATTGATCCATCTCCCCAGCCCCTCACTTACTCACTCTCCTGCTCCCTCCCCCAGTCAGACAATACTTGGTGGGTTAAGGTCATACTTTCCCAATAACCAAGAACCCGAAAGCTTCTCACCTGATTAAGATGATGGTGGGAACTGAGGACCGTCCTGCTGGGTGCTATCAGCACTTCTGATCTCCCCATCAAGACTCTGATCCTTCTTCACATCAACTTTGAGATCAGTGCAGGGTTGCAACTGGCATTAAGGAAGAGAAGAGACTTGAAATGTCAGGGCTTGGTTTCACAATTCAACCAAACACAAGAGCTCTGCCCTGTTTATGGTGATTTGCACATTGGCTTGTGGTGCACATTGATTTATTCATGTGACACAGGGAGACTATGAAGCCATTGAAGCTGGGGTTACAGAGAGGGGAAGTCTTCCTCTGCAGGCTGATGCCAGCAGGAAGGCTTGGCCTTCATGGAGTGGTACCCAGGGGGTGTCGCTGGACTTCAAGTCCTTCTGTTTCCAGCTTTGCTAATTTCTCAGAACCGCTGCCAGTTTCAACTCTGTCTCATACAAAGCCCTCACAGCTCTCAAGGTTCTGGGCCTCAGAAAGACATCGTCCAGCGTTATGAGTTGAATGTCAACTGTCTCCTAGGCTCATGGTTGAACATTTGGCCTCCAGCTGGTGGCACTGTCTGGGAAGGTTGTGGAACGTTTGAAGTTTGTAGCCCTGTCTCTGCTTCTTGATCCCACCAAACGTGAGCAGACAGCCTTAAACACCACCAAACTGCTCCCGTAGCCCTGTCTCCCCTGCTATGATGGACTGTTTCCTGAAGTATGAGCTAAAATAAACGCTTCCCACCTTAGGATCCCTCTTGCTGGGGATTTGAACACAGTGATGAAAATACTGGCTGACACACCCAGATAACTCCCAGCCCATCCAGTCACAAAGAACTTTATAACAAGCCCAAGGATCGGCTAGCCTAGAAACTTTTCATAGCGTGGGCCTGGGTCGGATCTCACAGGAAGATCTCCGGTCTTGCCTTCCTTTCTGGTATGTTCTTCTATCTCTCCAGCCCCATACTGTCTAAATCACAGCTGGGCATGTTGAAGATGATCTTTCAATGCCCTGGAAGCAACCGTAAAATGATTATTGTTTGGATAACAGTAGACCAGGAACTCCCCCGAAGACTTCTATGACCCTGACCTCTCTGTCCATTCTGGGTGGGGTAATAGTCTACTTAGTTATCAAAGGCAGTCATGAAATTCCGTTATTGTAAGCCTATGGGAGAATTTGAATTTAAGTTAAGAGATCAATGTGCAATACAATTCCACTCATTTATTGAGCAACTATTTTTCTGGGTCAGACATTGTACAAGGTGCTAAGTACAAGGCCGTCTATCCAATGGGAGATCAAACACACGTGCTCAGGCCAAAACCCCAACTCCAGTTGCAAAGCCAACTACTCCCTCAGATAGTTCCGGAAGATGCTTGTTTCCATAGACATGGGTGTGCCACACTGCTCTCTCAGAGAAAGGACACATTATTGGAGAGTGAAACAGGTCTTCTCGAGGAAACACACGCTGAGCCTTGAGGGTTGAGGGACATGCAACCAGCTACAAAGAAGCTTCTGCATTAAGCTGGGTAGGGGTATAGTGAGCTTCATGGGCCAGATACAAGAGAATGGGTAATCCGGAAGGAAACAGGGAGCTAACTTTAAGTAGTTGATTGAGATGATTCAACTTGTCAACAGAAATACTTGATTTCGTTTGAATTGCAGTATAGAAACAATGAGAGGAACCAACTATCCATGACCAAAGAACATGTTCAGCATTTATACATTAGAATAATGTGTGGCTGGTATATTAGTCAGGGTTGTCTAGAGGAACGGAACTGACAAAATGGATTTGTTAGAGTGTCTTACAGACTGTAGTTTAGCTAGTTTAACAATGTCTTTCTGCTAACAGAATGTTCAAGAATCCAGTAGTTATTCAGCCCATGAGGCTAGATGTCTGAGCTGGTATTATATGTTGGAATTCCAAAGAAGTAGGCTCTAACGCCAGCAAAGGAACGAACTTGCTAGTGGGAGGAAGGACACACAGACAAAAGCACAAGCCCCTTTCCTCTGTGTCCCTTATGTAAGTTGCCGCCAGAAAGTGTGGGCCAGATTTGAGGTGGGTCTTCCCACCTTCCTCAAATAATTCGAAAAAGAATAATCCCTCCAGATACATCCAGATGTTTGCGTTTTAGTTAATTCCAGGTGTAGTTAAGTTGACAACCAAGAACACCCATCACAGCCAGGGAAGATTATGCCTGTGGGCATGCAAAGGGTGGTTATTAGAACTTTATTAAAATATCTTTTTAAAAATATTTATTTATAAATTATGTGTCTGCCTGTCTGTCTGTATTTCTGTCTGTCTGTGTACATGAGTACAAGTGCCTGCAGAGGCCAGAGCTGTCAGATTCCTGGGGCTGCAGTGACAAGCAGTTGTGAGCTACCCAGGGTGAGTGCTGGGAGCTGAACTGGTACTCTAGATCAGCATCAAGAGCTCTTAACTGCCGAGCCCTCTCTCCAGCCCTGAAATGTCTTTTTTTATATGTCTTCATTTATTTTCTACATTTAATACTTCAGAGCTTCCTTTTAAACTCAGATTTAAAATGATGCCTTTGAATGTTTTTAAAGCTTAGCTGGTGAAAGTCTTCTACAAAAGTAAGAGTCTAAAATAAAAGGAATGACAGGAAACTGTAGACCACAACAAGAATCAGAAATTCTCTTAAGGCCACAGTATACTTATGGTCACTCCTTGAGTGGTTGAGACAAGATGGTTACAGAAAAATACATATTACTCTCCTTTTCTTTTATAAACAGATCTCTCTCTCTCTCTCTTTCTCTCTCTCTCTCTCTCTCTCTCTCTCTCTCTCTCTCTCTCTTCCTCCTTCCTCCCTCTCCCTCTCTGTCTCTCTGTGCATGTGTGTGTGTGTGTGTGTTTGCAGGCACATGTATGCCGCTGTGCACATGGAACTCACCTTGGAGTTGGTCTTCACCTTGCACCAAGGCTGTCTCTGGTTTTCTCTGCTGTGTATTCCAGGCTAGCTGACTCTGGAGTTTCCAGGAATTCTCCTGTGTCTGCCTCCCATCTGAATGTAGGAGATCTGCTCTGCTATGGTTTATGTAGCTTCTTGGGATCCCACCTCAGGCACCTGCACTTTTACAACAAACATTGTACCTTCTGAGCCATCTCTTCAGCCCCACTTTCCCGTTCTTTCTGAAATTGCAGTCCCAGAAGATGGTCTCACTTTTACAGTTCTGTCTCCCTGTCCTGTTGCCATGGCCTTTTGATGTTCACATACAGCCCTTCACTTCACCCCAATCAGAAATGCCAATTGTGAAGCCCTGCTAACAGAGGTGCTGTTATTAGCAGTGTCTACTGTGACCTGCACAACTTTGGGATTGGCCTTACTTAGACAATGAAGAAACAACAGACACACATACAGAGAAGCTGTGATTGGATGGGTCAGATACTCTGGAGACTCAGCTTGTTTCTTACACAGCGTGAACGAGGAGGAGGAGGAGGAGGAGGGGAAGAAGGAGGCAACTAACTAACATGCAAGGGAGCAGTCTCAGGCTACACTCATCCAGTAGAAGGAAGCTGTGGTAGATAGTTTCTGTATACACTGCTGTAAGTTAGAAGTTGGCCCTTCATCAAGATTCCCACTTGTATCAGGGGAAGGCTTTGCCATTCCCATGGATCTGAGGCGTTGGGGTTCTTGTCACGGCCACGATTATGTCAATAACACACATTCTCTCGGGATCTGCTCCCCACAGTATCCACCAGTGCTCCCCACAGTATCCACGGTGCTCCTCACATATCCACGGTGCTCCTCACAGTATCTACAGTGCTCTATTCAAGCCACAGATGGTTCTGTCTGCTCTTTCCCACTCTTTTTTTTTTTTTTTTTTTTTTTGGTTTTTCGAAACAGGGTTTCTCTGTGGTTTTGGTTCCTGTCCTGGAACTAGCTCTTGTAGACCAGGCTGGTCTCGAACTCACAGAGATCCGCCTGCCTCTGCCTCCCAAGTGCTGGGATTAAAGGCGTGCACCACCACCGCCCGGCTTTCTTGCCCACTCTTCACACACGTTTCCAAGTGTTTTAAGCATTTTCCTGGGTTTGGACTCCAGTGCTGTAGTTTAGGGGTGTCCCCCAAAGGCTCTGTAGTAGAGATCCAACCTGTGGCTCTACTGAGAATTGATAGAATTTTTAGAAGGCAGGTTTTAGGGGAAGAAAATCTAGTCATTGTGGTGGGATATGAACCCTTGAAGGGAACGTTGGGACCCTGGAACTTTCCTTTTTTTTTTTTTTTTCTGGTACCCTCCTCTGCCACTCATTCCTGCTGTAATACACTGAGCAACCAGAGGCCCGAGGCAACGGGGTCAAGGAGCTGTGAGCTGAAGCCTCTGAACTGTGAGCCATAACAAACCTTCCCCTTTATTAAGCCAATTGATCTTAGCCATTTTGTCATAATAATGAGAATCCAACACATATTATAATATTCCAAAGTTTCAAGGGATCCAACACTGACTTTCTCAGAGATGCCAAAGCATCAAATGTCATACTTCTTGTTCACCCCTGTATCCTACATGCAAAAGCATCAGAGCCCCTAGGCAAAGAGCTCTGGAGAGTGTGTGTGTGTGTGTGTGTGTGTGTGTGTGTGTGTGTGTGTGTGTAGTGGATGGAACAGTGAACAAATGTGTGTTGGGCACACTGACCCACATATACAAATGCGGAAGAAAGAGGCTTACAGCGGCTGATGCACACTTTTAATTCCGACACTCAGGAGGCAAAAGTAGTCAGATCTCTAAATCCAGGCCAGCCTGGTCTAAAGGACTAGTTCAAGAACAGCTAGGGCTACATGGAGAAGCCCTGCCTCAAAAAAAAACAAAACAAGCAAACAAAAAAAGGCTAATGGTGGGTTCTATCCGCCCCTACCCCCTCCCACCGCCACATTTTTGAGACAGGATCTCTCTCTGAACCTAGAACTCGCTGTTCTAGCTAGGCAGCCTAGCCCATGAGCTCCTGGGATTATAGGGTCTGCTGGTCTGTCTCTCACTCTCAGCTTCTATTGCAGATGTATGCAACAAAACCCAGCTTTGTTGGGGATGGGAACTCAGGTCCTTCATGTTCGTGCAGTGTGCACTGTACCCACGGAGCCATCTCCCCAGCCCTGAGAGATATCCTCTGACTTCAACAACAAGAGCAGAAACCCACTGAGCAATATGGGACTAAAGTCTCCACCTTGTTAACAAATCAGTAAGGAAGGATTATTAGAAATTAATGTCTAACTCTGCTGGCTAACTGTTTGTGGGGAAAGTATTACACGTCCTACCTTACATCCAAATCTATTCCAGATGGTTTGAAGGGCATAAAATAAAAACTTAAAAGAACTAGAAAAACATAGGTGGGTACCCATCTAGTCATATAAACGTAAAGACCTTGGCTATCACTTCATAAAAATATATAGTTCTGCATGCCATAAAGTGCCACAGAAGTTTCTAGAAACAAAAAAAGTTGAAGGAACAGTTAAAATAGTTACAAAGAATATTTATTTTCAATAATGCACAAAAGAACTCTTTAAAAATTAATATGAAAGAGATAGGCTTTAGCAGGAGGATGGGCATATTATTATAGAATTCCAACAGCAAGCTTGAGACCAGCCTGGGCTATACAGAGTGTTCTGCCTCAGATGGAAAGTTTGAGACCAGCCTGGGCTACACAGAGTGTTCTGCCTTCATGAAAATAATGACCTTTTGAAGGGCACTTGCTGTGGTGGAGGACAGGAAAGCGGTGGTTCATGGCTTGCCTCATACTAGCTGATGGCTTGGACCCAGTAAGACAGATAATGGATTTCTAGAGGTTGGTTATTGCAGGCTGGTTTTTTTTTTTTAACTGTTTGTTTAGTTTTTGTTTTGGGGGGCATGGGGTGGAGTAGCACTTGGAAGATGAGGTTGAAAAGCCTTCATCCTGCTCAGCACAGCTGAGAAGTGGCATTTGCTACAGACATTGGAGGGGTTCCAGGAAGTTCCCAGATTCCTCCAAGGTATCCTGGCCTTGGCTCTCAGGAGCTGCCTCTCAGGCAGTGGCCTCCGGGTACCCTCCTCTCCCCTCCCCTCCCCTCCCCTCCCCTCCCTTCTTCTCCTCCTGCTGGTGAAAGGCTACTGTAGCATAGTCTTTTGCCACCGAGACACAGATTCGCAGAATCCTCACGGCCAGTAGCTGTCGGGCTTTGGCTGGGCGATGCCAATCTTCCCCTGAAGAACTGCTCTTGCTGAAGCAGAGCAACCTGAATACACCTTAGGGATGTGAGGGGCTAAGGGGCTCCATGAGCAGAGCCCTTTCCACACTGCCTGGGACACAGGAACTGAGAAAGAGAGGGCCGGGGGACCTTGGGAAGGAATGAACTCTGTGTTCCCAAACACTTCTGTGGGTGGGATGCTCCTCCACCTGTAATTCAAGAATGAGTAGGTAACATTGAATCCCAAATACTCCAAAGCCTTCCTTCCAAGATTCAGGGAGGTTGGATAATGGATCCCAACATGCCATTAGACAAGAAAAGTATACTCCCAAGTCCCACAGCACCACAGGCTGACTGGAGCTTAGCTATTGCACATTGTGTGAATAACTGTAAGGTAAGCAAGGTATTTGAAGGCTCCAAACACCACGAAGCAATGAAGAGAAGGGAACGAACATGTCATCAATAAATGTTATATGAATGCATTGCATCAGCACTGCTGTCTACACGTACCTGCAACCATCACGCGCTATTTGGAAAATACAATGTGGTGAGTTAAGCTGTGACCTTGCCTAGCGTCCATGAGACCCAGATTTCAATCCCTAACACCACAAAAATAAATACTAAAATGTATGTATTTTAAAATGGCCCCCTTTACACTGGGTTTTGCCTTAGTTGGTGGAGACCTTGCCTAGAAAGCACAAGGCCCTAGCTTTGGTTCCGCATAAACTTCACATGTGGAGGACCCCAGGGAAATGCCTCAGTGTGTAAGAGCTTGCTCTTCTTGTGCAAACGTGAAGGTCTGAGTTCAAGTCCCTAGCATGGCAATGCAGATCTAACTCCAGCACTGGAGAGTGGAGGCAGGTGGGTCCCAAGTGCTCACTGGCCAACCAAGCTGAACTGGTGAACTTGGGAGACATTGTTTTAATGAGATACAGTGGAGAGCACCCGAGGAGGTCAAGGTGCGGAGGCTAAGAGACTGTGGGATGACCCACAACAGGTCATCTATAGACCACAACCCCGCCCTGCAAGGCTTGGCAGTCATCTTTCAAGAGGCAGTGGGAAGAGTATAAGAGCCAGAGGTAGTGACTGTAAGGAACAATAAGGTGACTTTTCTAGACCCAGCCAGGACAGTTACACACATGAACTCACGGACTTTGTGACTACATACATACAAAAGACGTGCACACCCTTTAAGTGAGACAAACATCACAGCATGGAGGGTGTGGAGATAAACACGAAGTTCCACCCTAGCTGAGGAGCTGTTGGTAATGGGTTGAAGGGAAAATGAATTGGTTTTCTCTAAGGATGAGGCCCCTAAGGAGGCTACGCCTGCTCCAGTGGAAGGCCCCATTGGCAGCACTAAGTAAACTCAGTAGGTTTAAACATTAATTTTTCCTTTTTAAATGAGAGGGGATGAAACTGGGGAGTGGGAGTGGGGTGGCCCTTCAGCCAGTAAGTTTCATTTTCCTAACAGGAGAACTTGATTGCTGGCCTTGCTAATAATACCAATAGGCCATGGTGCAGAACAGAGCTTCTGCGGGTTCTAAAGCTCTTCTCACACAACCCACCATATTCTGCCTGGGATGGACCACACCCGGAGCCCTACCTGTATCACATCTCCTTGTTTGGGGAGCCTGGTGATCCCTGGTAGTCACAGCAGCTGCCAAGCTCGGAGCATGTTGCCACTCGTAGCCTGCCACAGCCCACCCATCCTGCCGTCACCACTAACTAGAGATCAAGGAACCCCAGGGAGGTTGCGGAAAAAAAGAAAGAAAAAAAGGAAAGAGAAAACCTTTTTATTTTCACAGGAAAAAAAAATTATGTGTTTTTTTTTTAACTACAGATTCTTTCACTTACATTATTTTGCTTGGTTCTCAACCAACCCTTTCAAGTGGGCGGGCTGAGTGTTATCACCCACTTGGAGGACAGGCTTGTGAGACTCCAAGAAATTAAAGGACATGCCCCAAATTGCTGAAAGAGTCTGCGTCAAAGGCGCTCACCACAAAGGAATGAAAACTGTGTGAGAGGGTGGACATGTTAATTAAGTTGATTTGACCATTCTGAAATGTATCTATGAACTAAGACATCATGTTGTACCTCCCAAACACAGACAATTCTTTCTTGTAAATTAAAAATTAAAATTTAGTTCTAGGATGTGGCTCTGTGGTACCACCCTTGCAGAAAATGCTGAGACCCTGGGTGTAATCTCCAATACTGCGATAAATGAATAAATATGAATATGAAAAGGAAGGGGGCCAGTGAGATGGTCCTGCAGGCTAAGGTGCTTGCTGTCAGTCCTGACGACCTGAGTTCTATCCCTGGGCTCCACATGGTGGAAGGAGAGACGTGACTCCTGCAAGTTGTCCTCAGACACACACACAGCAAAGAAGTGAATAAGTGTGAGAATAGTTGAAGTCAGAAATGTTCAGATTCACACAGCCTGCTAAAGCCCCAAAGCTCATTTTAGACTCCCAGGGCCTGTAAGAATTGTATCTGTTGTTTGCTCTCCTGTTAACTTCAAGGCCGTTGCTCATATTTGAAGATTTAAAAAAAAACTATTATTACTCTAGAGCTGAGTGTGGCAGCTCACACTTGAAATGCTAGTACTCAGGAGGCTGAGGCAGGAGTGTTACTACAAGATTACGGCCAGTGTGTGCTACACAGGGAAAGCAGAGGTAGGGGAAGGTAGAGGAACAGGGGAGGAGGGGGGAGAAGAGAAATAAAACATTTAAAAAATCTGGGTCTCAGGACCCAGACCCTGAGAGTGCAGTGGGTTGTGTGAGATCATTCCTCACCATTTCCAAGGTTCAGTTCTAAGCAGTGTTTATTTTATTGCATGTGTTTGTGTGCATCTGTGTGCACAGGAAGGCATGGCACCTGGGTGAGAGTTAGAAGACACTCAAGAGAGTTTGTTCTCTTCTCTACCACCTGGGCCCCTGGGAGTGAAGACAGGTTATTGTGCTTGAAGGCAAGTGACACCCTCACCTTACGTTTCTTTGCTTGTTTTGTTTTTTGAGACAGGATCTCACTGTGTAACCATGACTGGTCTAGAACTTGCTATGTAGACCAGGTTGGCCTGGAACTCTGTCTCTTCCTCTCAAGTGCTGGGATTAAAGAAGTGTGTCACCATGCTTGGCTGGAGGCAGGCACCTTTAACCCACTGGGCTACTTCATTGACCCCTGTTCTCCCCCCACCCCACAGTTTATCATAAAGCATCAACTAGGTTTTTGTTCCCTCATTGATTACTATTTCTCTTTCTCCCCCCCACCTCTCTCCCTCCATTTACCCTTCTTTCCGTCAACTCCTTACTTAAGCTTTGCCTGCATAGAGTATTTGTCTCTCAGCCACCATGAGGTCTCTGCCTTTCATCTGCCAAGGTCTCTTACACGCAGAAATCATTACATCTCTGAGACAAGGTCTTAGTCTGTAGCATAGACCACCCTGGAACTCACTATATAGCGCCTAACTGGCCTCCACTGCGTGATATCTTTCCTGTCTCAGCCCAAGTGCTGGGATCACAAACTTACCCCTCCGTCCTGGCTATCTTTCTATTTTCAATGAGCAATGCCAGAATACCACTGGTCATTAATAGACATTACCTGAGGTTTGCTCTGCATTGGTTTGCACAGTGCACAGTGTCATGAACTCTCTGTGGTCAGCTAGGACACTCAGGACTTAACTGGGTAGTTTTGTCCCTAATAGTATCAAGAGGCATCTTTCATGATTTTAAAAAGAAAGTGTCTGCTGTTGGTGTCTAGGACAAAGGGCACAACTGTGTTAAACTTCCTCAGACACACAATATGGCCTTTGCAGTGCCCACAGCTCTGAGACTAAGAAACCCTGGCCTAACATCTCTCCTTCCTTCGGTGGGCGGATGTCTCTGTGGTCTGACATACCAATAACCGTTTGAGAAAATCAGATTGTACAAGGCTTATTTTTAGCAGAGAACTAAGTTCTTGACGATACCCTCCGCTTCCAACTGGGTGCAAATGGATCCCCCCTCTAACTCCTGCGTCCTGGCTAGAGTTTGCAAAATCTACTCAGGCCCTCTAAAGAACCCTTGAAGCAAAAGCTGGGAGGACTGTTTGCCTCTGACTAAAAGGGGAAGGGAATGCCTTTTGGGGGGAAGCTAAGTGCTGAACTTTCAACCCTTCTTGGCAGTGTTTGCTGGTCAGAAAGCAAAGCCAGCTGTAACTTGGACAGAGCTATACACAAGCAGACAACAGGCTGCTATCTCCCAAATTGGAGGCTTTCTATGGCTTCTCATGTGGGCACTGGCCTCAGGCAGGAAGACCACCCACAGGCAAGCACACAGCACCTCCCAGGAGGCCTCTAATCACCCACCCTTCTGGCCACCTGTTCTGGGGCTGGTTATCTGATGAGAGGGAGCCAGTTAATAACCATTTATAAGCTATAAATGGAAGTGGCCATGGCAGGGAGCTGATAAACATTTGGGGGCACATTATTTGTGACTGTCATTTGCACCCCTCTTGAAAGTATGCGTTTCGGGTTACAGGATGTCCAGATGGCTGTTTGCGGCCAGCCCTGTCTTGCTGAAGGGCTGGGACTGCGTTCTCCACCCCACTGTGGAAAGTGTGGGCTGCTTGGAGAGGCATCAGCTCTGTCCCTGTGACTCTGAGGGAGAAGTGAAAAGTCAGAGCTGGCACTCCCTAAAGGATTTTATGCCGTAGGCTTGGGAATCTCCAACCTCAGTTTGGGACTAAAGGAGACTGATTGACAGCCCTTTGCTCTGAGCTTTGATGACTCCAGTCGTTAGTGGAGACTTGGACTTTTTTTAAATTTTCCCTCTAAGAGATGGTAAGGATGGCAAAACGGCATCTAAACTGGCAGCTGGTGGTTAGAGGCAGCAGCAGACCCTGACCTGGGAGGATTGGGAACATCCCATGAGGTGCCTTACAGGACAGCAACAAGGCTGCAGATGAGCAAGCATTGCCCTGGTTTGGACATAAATCCCCCAAAGGCCCATGCATTAAAGCTTTGGCCCCACCTGTGGGAGGAAATCAGGTCACTGTGGTGTGTTGGTGAACAGCGCTCCCTGCCATGGTGTGCTCCCTACAGTCACAGAGAAACCTACCAGGGACTGGAAGCCCAAACAAACACACAGTAACAGAAACTTGGGCAACCATCCTAACTAGGGTTCACAACTGTGAAATTCAGAGGCCAGGGAGGAACTTGAACAATGGAAAGGGGTGATGGGTAGAGAAAGGTCATGGGGCATTTGAGTAATAAAAGTAACCCCTGGTTCTCCCATCTGGGAGCTGGAGGAGAACAGCCCAGCTGCTCTGCCTTTATCTTCCCAGACTGGATATGACCAGAAGTTTTTGAGATGTTGAACTGTGGATAGATAATGAACTGGTGGCTGCTAACTTAGGAAGAACTGAGGTGTGTGAAGGGTGTCCTGGTTCAGTTCTGGACCTAAGGTTCTCCATGTCCTAGCTGGGGTTTGCGTAGAATTCAGTAACCTGTGTACCTGTGTCCCACCTTGGGAGCTACAACATGAAGTGTGACTCACAAATGGAACTTGGGAGTCCAAGACTGACTGGAGGGACCCCAAGGCCACAGGAGAAGGCCAAGCAGTGTCTGGGGAGGTAAACGCCATCAGGGTCCGGGTCAGGGAGGGATCCAAGGAGGATCCTGGGAGGGGGGGGGGTGTGTGGCAATGCTCCTGGATCCTGCAAAGGCCTCTGTGGGAGCTTTTAGGAGAAAGGCCCCAGAAAGACACTGTGCAGCAGCCTTAGTGGGAGAGGAGCTTTTCTTTGTAGGTCAATCAGAGAAGGTTGGGGTGGGCTGGGGTGGGCTGGGGGACCTCCTGATGGGGGAGGGCATATGAAGTTGGTGCAAAGACTAGACATCCAGGCAGAGACTGGTGCTTTTCTTGGTCTGTGAGGTCAGCAGGGCTGACGTGGTTGCTGTGGAGAGGGAGAAGCCAAGGCCTCAGAGAGAATGAGCTTTGGCCAGATCTGATCCCCAGGATAACCCTCTAAACAGTTCTCAAGCAAAGGATGGCGCCTCCCTTCCAGACACTCCAGTTTGGGGTAAAGAACTAGAAACAGCTGGAAGTGGGGGGCTGCGATTGAGGAGGGTGCTGTTGACCTTTGTGACCCGATGGCTACTTTCGCTTTCTGGTCACCAGTAAGCAGGGTCCTGGGATAGAATGTGCGCATTAGAGACCAGCCATGCAGTGACTCCTCAGGCCAGTGTGAGCTGGATGTGATGGATTTCCAGGTCCTGAAAGTGGGGTTTGGAGAGATTGAGAAATGCATCTAACCACGTAGCTTGAAAAGGTGCGGTTCTCGCTCAGGCCCAGCTGCTGCTAACTAAAGCCCAGATCTTTGTCTGTCTTTGTTGCCACAGCTTCTCTGACTTCTGCACATTGGATTCTTGTATGGGACTTTCGTTTTCTCTAGGGCTGGTGCGATAACCTTGTCACAAAATATATGGCCCAAACCAACCTTTCTGCTCCTAAATATCTTATAAATAAGTATCAAAGTTGTTAGTCTGTGACTTTAAAGATTAGAACAAATACCAAAAAAGAAAACCTTGGCCCCTCTTATAAGCGTGTCGGTATAAAATATCATATGAATCAGTATTCCTTACTAAATTACTAAATTTATGTGAAATATTAATTAATATTTTTTTTCCAATTTGGCCAAGGAAAGGGATCTTCTGAAAGCCAAAAGAGACAATATAAAACAACCCTGTATTTGCATTGCAAAGTGT